GCAATATCTGAGCGAGAGCAGAGCCAATTCATGAAATAAAAAAAAACAATGTATAGTTAAAAGCACATACAGTTTTGTATGAGTGAAGCAAATTCGCTTGCGGATTCTTGCGGTGAGATTCTTGCTCACGCATTACATGGATCGCGTAACATTATGCGCTCTCGACATTTGTCATTAAGATCACGCTATAGAAACAGCTTACAATTAAGTATAAAGAAGAGAAGAAAGCGGCCCTAGGCAGCTGCCAAGACAGGATCCGCCACTGCCAGATGCCGTTAGAAATGTACTAAAAACAAGCCTATCGCAAGATATCTGGTGGGGGGGGGGCACCTGGGGTGGCCAGCCAGATTTCAGGGGGGGCCGGTGCCACCCCTGGCGACCACGTAGACATGCCCCTGGTCACGAGGCGATCACGTGAGGCGCTCCCTCTGGCATGATAATCTTAATAATATCTTGTAGTGTGTGATGCGCCATGATGTTCAAATCTTGTAGTGTGTGCATGTTTAAGATTTGAGAGAAGATAATCTGCAAAGATTCTCCTTATGTGTGTGCTGCAACCAGATTTCATAATCGGTTAGGATTTTAAAACTCCTGTAGTGTGAGCCCAGCTTTAGCTGTTATAAATTCACTGTAAACCACGGCTTCTTGGGGTTTATTGCTTTATTTTACTCATGATGATATTAGATCTGGGTTTTATATTATCACTGATAAACTAACACTCAAAATACAACAGACATTTCTTAGGTTTATATTATATACAAGAGTTTGGAGGGGTTCACGCATAAAACTGGCTCACTATGGAGAAAGAAAAGGTAGAGTTGCAGGAAATGTTTGAAATGGGACCCCACTGAGACCCTTGACACAATTTGAGGACTGGTTTAGAGGTGGAGGAGAAATGCAAGAAGAATCACTGCAGGGACTGATGAAATTGTTGTTGTTACTGAGGGTTTATGTTTAAACTTCTGTTTGAAAATCTATTTTTGAGTTTTCTTTCTCTGTAGCTCTCTTTATATATATATATATATATATATATATATATATATATATATATATATATATATATATATATATATATATATGTGATTAA